AAATGCATATGCTAAAGCCCTAACCCCTAATGTGAATGTGTTTGGAGACAGGGCCTTTAAGGAGGTAATTAAAGTTAAATGATCTCATGACCACTCCAACTATTCTGGAAAAGACAAAAGCACAAAGATAATTTTTTAAAATAGTGGTTTTCAGGGATTAGGAAGATGGAGCAATAAATAGTTGAAGCAGAAGAGTTTCAGAGCAGTGAAACTATTCTGTCTGATACTGCAAGAGTGAATACATGTCATTATACATTTCTCAGAATCCACAGAATATATACCAATAGTGAACCCTAATTTAAACTATGGAGACTGGGCTCAGTGGCTTATGTCTGTAATTCCAGCACTTTGGGAGGCCAAGGCAGAAGGATTGCTTGAGCCCAGGAGTTCGAGATCTGCCTGGGCAACCTAGGGAGACTTCGTCTCTACAAAAAAAATCAAAAAATTATCTGGGTGTGGTGGTGGTATGCATCTGTGGTCCCAGCTATTTGGGAGGCTGAGACAGAAGGAATGCTTGAACCCAGGAATTCAAGGCCGAAGTGGGCTGTTATTGCACGGCTGCATTCCAGCCTGTCAACAGAGTGAGACCCCTAACTCAAAAAAAAAAAAAAAAAAAGAAAAAGAAAAAGAAAACTATGGAACCTGAATGATAATGTAGGTTCAAGGTGCCCCCTTGAAATTTGCACCTGAGGCACAAGATTCTAAAGTTGTAGTGATAGAACCCTTGAGTCTCAGCTGCGTACAGCATTGTTCAGAAGAAGAACTACACTTCCCAGTCTCCCTTGTTTGAGTCACGTGACTAGGTCCTGGCCAACGGGTTGTGAGCGGAATTGACTCGTGCAAACACTTCCCTTAAAGACAGGAAAGTAGTCATACCTTCCCTTCACTTTTTCAGTCTCTTGCTTCCTGTCCTGATGCTGGTGCTCCATCTTGTACCCTGCAGACAAGGACATCACTTTTGAGGTATCAGAGGCACAGGAGAGAAGGAATTTGGGCTCCTCAGGACTTCGCAGAGCAGTGATGACAAACCAGCCATGATTTTCACGTAGGAGAAAACTGTTTCCTGTTGCTTACTTTTTATTTTTATTTTTCTGAGTCAGGGTCTTGCTCTGTTGCCCAGGCTGGAGGGCAGTGGTACAATCACGACTCACCGCAGCCTTGACTTCCTGGACTCACTCAGAGGGTTGTTCTGCCTTGATTTCCTGAGTAGCTGGGACTACAGATGTATGCCACCATGCCCAGCTAATTTTTGTTTTTTAAATTTATTTTTGTAGAGATGGGGTCTCACCATGTTGCCCAGGCTGGTCTCACACTCCTGGATTCAAGCAATCCTCCCACCTCAGCCTCCCAACATGCTGGGGTTACAGGTGTGAGCCACCACGCCCAGCCTTGCTGCTTGCTTTTGCATCTGACTCTCCCAGTCCTACTGGCTTGTGGGATAGAGAAGGGGACGGAGATAGAGGAGTTGGAATTAATGCTCTGACAGAGATGTCTCCACACCCCCTCTCCCGCAGAAATCCCAGGAGTGGGAGACATGATATGGGGTTAAAGGAAAAGCTGTAAGCTGAAAGGTCTCTGTCTCTTCCCTGTTGGACTCTGGCAAGGATAACACCAAGTGGCACATCCCTGGGGTCACTTGGAGTCAACCACAGCAAAAGGAAAGCAGAGGGGCAGAGAGAAAGCCCAATGTGGCAGCTTGCTCGGCTTCTGGGGGCAGAGAAGAGAGGCAGACATTTCCAAGGTCTCATGGAGAAAGCAGAGGCAGGCCAGCATCAGACTGGTGGGCTTCAGGCTTCCCTTAGGGGGAAAGTGATCTTACTTTCTGCGTTCCAGTTGCTCCCTGAGCCTCCCCCGTCAACGCCTCTGCATAACCTTGTGATTCCCCTGACTTAGAGGGAGAGAAATAGCGAGAGAGTTAAGGGGTTAGTTGGTGAGGCCAGTGGGACGCTGGTCCCGCAGCCTCAACTGTAAAATCTGCAGGCGGAGAAACCGTGGTTTCGGAAAATCTCCCCCAGAAACACCACAGAAGATGTGCATGACCTTCCACAGAACTTCAGAGGTCTAGCTGCGATCAGTTGAAGCCCTGCTGAAGTCACCAAGCAAGTGGCATAAGAAAGTCAAGGTTCTTCAGGCACATGATGCAAACCCAGCACCTCCCGCCCCAAGCTCCACCCAGCAAGGGGGGGATGGAGCCGGCGGGCTCCCCTCTCTGATGTGTGTCTAGGAAAAATGGAAATCCTCGTAGGGCTCTCTTCATAGGGTTCTTGTGAAGTCCGAGTAGGGGAAATCTGCCATGTCCTTAGAATGGAACTCAGCCCTGAATCACGGATGGGTCCTTGGTTTGTTGCTGGTGTCCCTGTGTTACAAAAAATCATGCCACAATGAATTGGTGTGTGTATATCTGCTTCTGTGGTGGGTGCAAGTATGCTTATGAAATAAAAATCCTTAGGCTGGGCACAATGGCTCATACCTGTCATCCCAGCCCTTCGGGAGGCCAGGGCAGGAGGATTGCTTGGGCATGGGAATTCAAGACCAGCTTAGTCAACACAGTGAGACCTCATCACTACAGAAATAAAAATAAATTAGCCAGGCGTAGTGGCGAGCACCTGTATTCCCAGCTACTTGGGATACTGAAGTGGAAGGACTGTCTGAGCCCAGGAGGTCAAGGCGGTGGTGGGCAATGATTATGCCACTGCACTCCAGCCTAGACGACAGAGTGAGACCCCAATGAAAGAGAGAGAGAAGAGAGGAGAGAGGAGAGGGAGAGAAAAGGAAAGAGAGAGGAGGAGGGAGAGAGAGAAAGAAAGAAAGACGGAAGAAAGGAGGGAGAGAAAGAAAAGGAGGGGAGAGAGGGAAAGAAAAAGAGAGAGAGAAGGAAGGAAGGGAGGAAATCCTTGCAGTCCTGTTTCTGGGCTGAGGGAAGTCCATGTTGGCACCCTGACAGATTTCAACAAGCGGTACCTCTAAGAGGTTTCATCCATTTCAGACCCCAGCATCGGGGTGTGAGGTTCCTTGTGACTTTCACACTTGCAGTGTGTTGAACCATCAAACACTTTTATCCTTTATCAGCCACGGGCTGAAAGAAAAAGTGTCGTTCATAGAGTTTTCCATTTCCAGTTTTCTCATCATGTATGAGTTTCCGCATTTGTATTTCTCTTTATAACTTGATGGCTCTATTTTTTTTTCCCCATCTTTCTGGAGGCTATTGGTCACTTTTTAGCGAGGTATCTTCTAGGTTATTTATCTTTTAAGCTGATATAAAGATGAGATCCGTATATATCAGATAAATGAGGGTGGGGGTCATTTAGAGGTTACTGCCAGGTAATCCAGCCCAGAGCTAGGACCCTAGGGCTTCAGGGAAGGAAATGAAATTTATTTCGTTCTTGGGAGCCTCAGGAAATATATGCTGAGTGCCCAAACCCCCAAAATTCTGGATCTGTTTGACCCCTTTCCTTAACCTGCCCAATCCCCAGACCAGCAAATGCTGTTGGCTCAAGCCCTGAAATCTCTTCTGACTCTGCCTCCTTGTTACAACCCAGGTCAGGCCACTTTCATCTCTCACTTTGTTTGTCTGTTTGTTTGAGTTAGAGTCTCTCTGACCTGCTTCTGGTGGTCTCCCTCTCTGACCTCCTCCGAGGAAAAACGGAACTGTTAGTAGGACTAGTCTCTGTTGCCCACACCAGAGTACAACTGGATCATGCCCAGGCATGATTGCAGCTCACTGCAGCCTTGATCTCCTGAGCTCAAGCAGCTCTCCCACCTCAGCCTCCCAAGTAGCTTTTTTATTTTGTAGAGACAAGGTCTCACTGTGTTACCCAGGCTGGTCTCAAACTCCTGCTCCCAAATGATCCTCCTGCCTCAGCCTCCCAAAATGCTGGGATTACAGGTCTGAGCCTCTGCGCCCTACCAGACCTCGTCTTAAACTAATTACATCTGCAAAATCCCAATTACCAAAAGAGGTTACATCCTGATGTCTCAGGGGACATGAATTTGGGGGGGAGGGGTGAGGGCAGGATTCAACCCACTACAACCAAGGACAGGAGGCTGCCTGGGGTGTGGTGTCTCACACCTGTAACCCCAGCACTTTGGGATGTCAAGGAGGGTGGATTGCTTGAGCCTAGGAGTTTGAGACCAGCTGGGCAGCATAGCAAGAACCTGTCTCTACCAAAAAAATAATAATAATAAAAAAACTAGCCAGACGTGGTAACACACACCTGTGGTCCCAGCTACTTGGGAGGCTGAGATGGGAGGATCACCGGAGCCCAGGAGGTGGAGGCTTCAGTGAGCTGTGATCGTGCCACTGCACTGCAGCCTGGGCAACAGAGTGAGACCCCAACTCAAAAAAATTAAAAAAAAAAACAGGAGACCTCCAAGAATGCAGAGGAGGAAAGAATGGACGTACTGTGTGGACGACTTCTATCAGCCAGTCACAGAAGTGATGGTCACTTTCTCTCTCCTGGCATCTGGCAGGTCGGTCACCCGGCCCCACCTGACTGCCAGGGAGGCTGGGAAAATGGAGGAGAGTACCAGGAAGAGCCCTCCCAATTCCTGAATTCCGCCCTTGCCCCTCCTACCCAGGACCCGGTCTCCTTGTCCCTCATAGACGTTCAAGGAAGGTGTGTGGAATGAATGACAGAGCGCCAGGAGGGTGTGGCGGGGAGTCCAGGGGGAAGAGGGACTGTCCCCTCCCTGGAGGTCAGGGTGAGGCCGGCAACTCGGGCCCCCATCCCGGGCCACGCCCCGGCCCATCCTGGCAACTGCCCCACCCCTGACAGCCGGGACGGGTACAGTAGGGGATTTCCCCCCCCTCCCCGGTGAACCGTACCAGTCACTCCACTCGGCCGGACATCCCCAGAGAAAAGGCGGGCCTGGCCCTTGGCAGGTCTGGGCTCGCAGTCGCGCTGGAGCCGTCGGAGGGGGCTGAGGTTTCCTTCCCCCTTCTCGGCAGCCCTCCGCGGGCCCCTCGCTCTCGCGGCACCCGAGGGTGGCACACCGCCGCGATGGAGGAGGGCTCGGGCTGCTCCTTGCCCCGCCTGCCCTGGGTGTGGGCCCAGCGGACATTTATGCTTGCATTGCTGGGCTTGGTGATTTACTGTATCTTCAACAACCAGCATCGCGCACAACGGGAGGCCTCTGGGGTGAGTCGGGGGCTGGGGGGAGGAGTCGGGGTGAAGGGGAAGCAGGTGGGGCGCTGTGGCTTGGAGGCCAGCCTGGGCAACACAGGGAGACCGTGTCTCAACAAAAATTAAAATGAATAATAGTAATAATAATAAGCTGTGTGCGGTGGCTGGTGCCTTTAATTCTAGCACTTTGGGAGGCCGAGGAGGGAGGATCGCTTCAGGATCAGGAGTTGGAGACCAGCCTGGGCAACATGGGGAGACCTTGTCTCTGCAAAAATTAATAATAGTAATAATCATCATCATCTGTGTGCTGTGGCTCATGCCTTTAACTCTAGCACTCGGGGAGGCCGAGGAGAGAGGATCGCTTCAGGATCAGGAGTTGGAGACCAGCCTGGGCAACATAGTGAGGCTTTGTCTCGACAAAAAATTAAAACAATGATAATAATAAGCTATGCACTATGGTTCACACCTTAACCCCAGCACTTAGGGAGGCTGAGTTGGGAGGATCCCTTGAGCCCAGGAGTTGGAGAGCAGCCTGGGCGACATAGCAAGACCTCATCGCTACAAAGTTCTTTTTAAACAGTTCGCCAGGTGCCTTGGCGTGCACCTGTAGTCCCAGCTACTCGGGAGGTTGAGGTGGAAGGATCGCCTGGGTCCAGGAAGTGGATTGTGCCACCGCACTTCAGCCTGGGTGGCAGAGCGAGGCTTTATTTCTAAACAAAATAAAAAGAAGAAGGAAGGGTGGACAGCAGGCACATCGGCCACAGCACGCTTTGCATCCTCACGGAGCCTGGGGCCTCTGGGTTGGGAACCGGGGAGACCATGCCCTGGGAGGAGGTGGACATAGGACGACAGGAAAGACAGAATCAGAATGAGAGGGGTAAAAAGAGGCCGCCTGCCGGGTGACATCCAGGAAGGGAACTTTGAGGGTCTTTGAGACAAAGTGAGAGGAAGGAGATGGAAGCAGACAGAGAGAGAAGTGAGATACAGACACAAAGACAAAAGGAAGGAGGGAGGGAGAGAGAGAGAGAGAGAGAGAGAGAGAGAGGGAGAGAGGATGAGACAGAGACAAAAAGAGAGAAGAAGAGAGACAGAGACAGAGGCAGAAGAAGACACAGAGACTGCCGGTAGGGCTCGGGGACCCCCAGCCCTGCCCGGAGGTGCCGGGAGATCCCGGCCTGGAAAGGTGAGTCCGATGTGAGCGTAGAAGATGACTCGTCCCTGGTGTTCCCCCACCGACTGACTCATGGACTGCTGGGGGCTTCACAAAGCCGGCTGGGGAAAGGGGGCTTCCTGGGACAGACGGCACAGCAAGCGCAGAAAGCCTCTGCAGGGAAGGGAGGCTGGTGTGTGGCCCGGGCGCACTCCCGCCCGCCTGCTGGGTGACATCCAGGAACGGTCCTTTGAGGGTCCTTGTCTCTACGCTGCTGCTGGCTCAAACCTACTTCCTCTTTAAGATGTCTCTAAAAAAACGAATCACAAGTGCCGCGGACTGCGATGAGGGGTGGATGGAGAAAAGGGGCCCCCTGACTAAGGGGACGCTGCAAACCTGCGTGCTCAAGTTCGTGTTCTTGTCTGGTCTTTTTTTCCAGTGGGACATGGCTGAGCTGC